AGAAACGAAGAAAGAAAGAAAAGAAAGCAAAAAAGAACCTGGCACGGAGGTCTGTACCACAGTGGACCTATGGAGGGATCTCGCGCATTGGTTGAGGCCCGAAAGGATTCTGACAAGCCTCGCCAATCGACAGGCTTTAGTGGGGGCCGAGAGTGAGCTGCTCTTCTGAACCCATCAGGTATCCGTCCACAGAGATCGCAAAAAAAGAAAGGAAACGAAAAAGGGAAAAWAAAGGAAAAGAAAGGGCTGGCGGTTCGGATCCTACTAGCTATCCCAGCTCCGGAGAGAGAAAAGAGGAAAGACAGAACAAAAGAGAAAAAAAGGAAAAAAGAAAGAAAAAAGAAAAAGGAAGAGGAAGCAATCAGAAAGAAAAACGTAGTCCGAGGCCTGTGGCCCCGATTCCGCAAGCTCTCTCATATCCGTTCGGCGCATATACCCTGTATGTATGTGTGTGTGTGTGTGTGTGTGTGTGTGTGTGTGTGTGTGTCCCACCCCGTTCCCTCCGGAGAACAGTTGGAACCGAGGGGGACGGTTGTCCAGAGAACAACCGGCTCCCCGGCCCAGTTGTTCCCTAGATACCAACCGCACACACAGACGCACCTACACAGACATCACCACAGTAGTCAATCCACAATTCCATACACATTGGCTAGAGTCTCCCTTAGTACATGCACGGACAGACTGCCGGGCTGGTAGAGATGCACATTGCGCAGGGTCTTCTTGAGTACTCTCCAGCACGTTGCTGCAGCAAAGCCATTTTCCACCATTGCCTCTACTATCTTCGCGATTTCTCCCGCGGCGTCAACCGGATCCGAGCAAATCATGAGAACCTGTGCGACCTGCGCCGTGATGATCTGCAGCGATTGCTTGATACTCCTGTTAGATTTGAACTTCATGAATCTGCACGGAGAGAAACCCAAGCCAGCGCGCTTATCAAACTTGGAGGTGATGTAAGTGCCTTCGATCGGCGAGGTGATTGTGATGGTCATGCTAAGGAAGTTGGCGACGTAGCCAATTCCGTCCTCGAGCACCTCGGTATTCTCCTTTATCTCGATAAACTGGTCCGGATAGATCCAGCAGGGGTCATTCGCATCCCTGTCCTCCGCTTTGCGCAGAAAGTTCCCGATGATCGCGTTGTTGATGGCCCCCAAATCATCTATGTATCTAAAGGTATTGTCGAAGCGTGGGATGAGATGGGCGTTCCCCGTGTCCACCAGTCTCATCATGGCATGAAACTCATACTTGAAGAAGTATATGTCGCACCAAGTCGAGGAACACGCAAGTCCCATGGGGATACCTCTCACCTGTCGCCAGACGTAGTCGCCCATCCGCATCACACTGTTCGTAATGCACCAGTCTGCGATCCAGTAGATGTCTGTTTCCCTGAAAAGTAGCGCCCCTTCCTCCTCCGGCTGCTCCAAGTCCACCCATGATGGCCAAGGCTTCCCGCCATCCCCAAACCTGATCCGAATGGCGTGGCAGGAACTCCTTTCCCTCCTCACTTGCATAGCGCATTGGACGTAGAACCTGATTGTGGCCGGCAGGCTGTCCTCTGAGGCGTCCGTTGGGATCGTCTCAAAGCATCTGGTAATGTCGGCAGTGAACACTGAGTAGATTCTCTCCGGTAGATTGGCGCAGCATTCCCCAACTGAAGCGATGGCCCACCATAGATTAGGGCTGACACCATATTGCTCCTTTATCTTCGTGCTCCTTTCCTGGCAGAAAGTTTGCACCAGCGGAAGCAGGAACCTCAGAAGGCAGGCGCAGACCTCCGCCGCAGGAGAGATGATGGAATTCGCTGTGTTCGTGATCCACCTGAAGGTGCCCTTGTGTGCCTTCAGCACAACCATGAGGTATGGGAGCGCGGCAGGTGCGACCGGAAGCGCCGCCATAGCAGAGAGTTCCCCTTGTATGAGCGAGATGACCGCCGCTAGGGGCATGCCGGTGCAGGCGAATTCAGGGCCTGATAACCTCTGGAAAGCAAGCTTTCGGATGAAGTTCTTGCAAACAAATGCCGGCGTGTTGGGTGCTTTGTCTGTCGGACAGATGAGGAATCTGCCCGTGATAAAGTCCAACTGCCTCTTCACTGTAGGGTGCTCGAATGGTTCAGCTATCGCATGCCTGTGCGCCTCCTTGTACCTGCTCATCCTTGCCTTTCCCTTCTTCATGATAATCCTTCTCAAAAACGATTTAGTGGACTCCGTGAGCGTCCTTAGCTCCATCACGCTTGCAAAGAGTTCGTCCAGAAAACGGTCCAACTCCGTGACAGCCTCCTCCACGTCCAGAGCCATCAGCGTGATATGGTTGAGACCCTCGTTAATAATGCCCTGTAATAGGGGATTATCTGTGATCGAGGAGTCCAGGGTGATAACATGCGTGCACCCTTCGTTGCGGAGCAGTTCAATCGACCAGTTGTTGCGCATGTCCTAATTCCTGCGAGTTCTGCACGGGCATTGCTTAGGGTCATAACTGTCCATCCACTGCGAAAGGTCGAACTCGCAGAAGACTTCAGCTGGTCTACATAGCTTAGCAGCGATGTAAGCGTTGTAGGTCCACCCGATTCTGGTGCGCTGCAGCCAGCTTGCAGTGTCGTCGCCCACTATTCTGCTGAGGACGTCGTTTACCAGTCTCCTGACGGAAAGTGATTCCATGACCCGGCTAGTGTACTTCATATGCAGAAAATCGTCGCATTCAAACTTCTCCCTCCTCCATGTCCTTTTGCCATTAGGTGACCATTTTCCCAGGAGCGTACACCCATCTATTCGGATCCTGCGCTTACAGGTACAAGACGGGGAGAGTGTTGGGAGAAAGGGACCACGGGCGAGGGGGTAAAAAACACCAAAGATCACAATCACACCAAGAAGGGACGAGAAAAGGAAGGCAAGAAGAACTATAGAAGGAAAGAAAGAAAAGAGAAGAGGAAGGCAGAGGGGGAGGAGGTTGCAATATCGTGGAAGAGAACAGAGGTGCCGACTCGCTCGGGTTAGGTCCTCGTGGGACGCTTTTTGGAGCTGGCGGCCACCCCCCTGCATCCACCCCTCCCACCCGCGTTCTTCTTTCCCTTCCTTCCGTGCTGCGTGATCGTAGAGTGTGCGAATGTCTCTGGTGAGATGTGAATGACAGGCGGAGGGGTGAGCCCCCTGATGTCGACCAGCGGGTGCAGGGAGGGGAGTGGGGAGGTCATGACCGGGCGCCATGTTTGTGCAAACTGGGGTGGTTTTTGTACCCCGGTTAGTATGGGTATGACGGGGGGGTTTCCCGGTCGGGAGGCGCTAGCTTGCTGTGCTGCACCAGTGGCCATCATCGGGGGGTTAGGGTGGAGAGGGGTCGGAGGAGGGGGAGGAGGGGGAGGAGGGGGAGTGGGGGGAGGAGCGCCCTCCGCAGGTGGGGCGCGCTGAAAATTGAGCGTAGTTTGGCCCTGCACCTGAGCAGTGCGGTTCCTTTTCCATGCCACATCGCGTGGAGAGCTGAGTGGAACCCTCGTTGGTTTCTCAGGAATCCTGGTGGGAAGCATGATGCGGGCAAGCGCCGCGGGAATGGGGTAGCTCCAAAGTCGATCCTCCTTTAGAACGGTTTTCGCATTCAAGGTCGCATCCTCTTCTAGCGTCTTAGCGATGTTCATCATCAGATCCCTGAGGAAATGGAAACTGATGGCCACAAGAACTCCCTCCCTCCACGTGGTGCGGAAGTAGTGGATGAGCATTGACGTCCGGATCTTGATGGAGGACATGGTCGGAAAAAGGATATCCGGATGTGCCAATAGGTACCATATCGCATGATCGAGCCAGAGAGCGGTATCCCCACAATCCTTATTCCTTTCTTTTTTGCACTTACATTTCAAATAGGGTCTACCGACGCTCCACACCTTTCTTAGGGTCCTTAGGTCGGGCTTACCTTCCTGCCTGATGCCCTTCTGCCACATCCCAGAGTTCGTCTCGCCGCATTTGTCAGGATCCAGCTCGCGCATGCGGGGAAGTTTCAGGTCCTGGGGATCCAAGGGACTGACTCTCCCGCAGTACTTCAACTTGCCCTTCAGGATCTGTGCCCTACAATGCCTAACTTGCTCATCCGTGACGTTCCCGAGGAACTGGAGTGCACGAATGGAGATGGGTGCAAGATGATTAAGAGTATCCATCTTCCAAATAGCGTGCTTAAAACCTGTAGATGTGTGCTCGATCCAGTATGCTGAAGCAAGAGGTGCAAAAGCAGTGTATTGGTCACGTTCGATGGCGTCACCTCCTGCCTTACTAGATGCAGGTGGGGAGTCGCGAGTGGAGGCTTTTATGGCGGCTATTGCTATTCCATCTCCATCCTTTCTTCCTCCTCAATCGCGAGGTCATCACAGTGAGCCGATGGGGTGCCCTGAGCGGTCGTGGGGCGATCCGCTGTGGTATCGGGGATGAGATCCTCCAGGTGGGAGTCATCCAACCCCCAGATTTTGAGGAAGATCTGTTCGATCTTTGCGGTCTTACCCCAGAGTTCCACGCATTCCTTCGTATACTCATGTTTCTTTAGTTCAAGTTTTTCGCACAGAGCTCCTAATTCGCCATCGAAATCATCCTTACTACGTTCCCAAGCACCTGCGAGGACGGCGAGGTCACTGAACCCGATCATTTCGAAAAAATGGGGGTAGTGACCGGAGTCCCATTTTTCTTTTATTGCGTTGATGACTCCAGGGTTGACACAAGCGAATAAGGCTTGCGTGGGTCTGGCGGGAGAGGCACAGTGCTCGATCCAGGGGTATCGGTGTGCAATCTGATTCCACCATCCCCCTCGGAAAGCTTCCTTGGGGGGTGGCAGTGCCTGTGGGAAGATCATCCCAATACGGGAAGGTGCGTGCAAAGAAGAGTCATGGGGGCGAGATGCAAAACGCAGTGACAGAAGGAACAGGAGGATAAGGAGGGAGTGTCGAAGGAAAGAAAAGACCAGGGAAGGGGAGAGGGGTGGGGGTATGGGACAAGGGGAGAAACAGGAAAACAGGGACAGGAGCAGAATAGGGTCAGATAGGCTCGCAACAGTCTTACTGTACAGGATCTGGCAAAAAAATACGACAAATACTGCAATCCCCCCATCGCTCGTCCGGTTGATGGGTTTTCTACTTTTATTCTGCCCTCGGCAATATTCCAGCCGCCACTCCCGCCGGCGTTCAGGCGACTTAGGCGTACCCCAACGGCTGCATGCATCACCCGAATCCACGCAGACGGCAAACACAAGTTGCCGAGAAAAGAGAGACCACAGTATGGTCAGGGGGATCGCCCCCCAACAGTGCTCGAGGAAGCTCGTCCTCCTGGGTGTGTTGCATGTGTGTGTCACATGGATTTCGCGCGAGCACAACACGTTATGCTCGTGCATACTCCGACTACATCGGTCGGCATACTGCGGGCAAAAAACAAGGCGCGGAGGCGAAAAACGCAGCGAGGTAAAACCATGTCGTACGCCTTTTTGCGGTAAGGGTGGAAAAGGCCGTTTTGTCGTGCGGATACGTAGACACCAATCAAGGCGGGGGATGACGGAGGCAGAGGCCTATTTCTCGATGCGAATATAAAGAAAAATACAAAATAAAAAATAAAAAATAAAAAATAAAAAATAAAAATAACCATCGCAATTCCTTTTGGAAGCAAAGCGAAGTTTCCACAAACGATCCATAATGATCATTAAGAAAGGGTCCAAGGTGCGATGTTTACGAAGGTAATATACAAAAGATCTTAATCACACATGGCACGATCACGATACAGAAAACACGTCGCTGACGAAAGGTGGGTGAGAGCTCATTTTCAATTGTGAATAAGCGTGTAAAAATTTTCCATCATAATTCTTTCCGACAGCAGAAATGATTGAAGACTTCATACACAGAATGATCCATTACRGAGGAAGACCCAGAATGCAATGAACGCGTAGAAAAAAGATTATGCCCGAAAGATCATACAGAGAGAAGTGAAGAGCTGGATAGCAAAATTCAAAGCACATTTGCAAAAAATTGACAAAGGCAAGCACTCAGAAGGCAATATAATACCAGCAGAACCTTATGAAAAAATTGCGATCATAGATCCGAAAAAACGACCAACCTCCACCACACCGTTGCCAGTATCCAAAAGAGTAATCGTGCTAAACTGCTATCATAAGGGGGATTAGAGTGCGATGACGGAGGGGGAGGGGAGTGGGGGGAGGGGGGGTTGATGGTGAAAGAAAGAGCAGGAAGATCCTGCTTCAGCTCTCTCCTCCAGGCCCGGTGCGCTCTTGTATCCGCGCAGGCCATCTCGCCGAATCGCGCAGGAAGGGTATGGCAAATCCCTGAAGCGCTTTTCTACCCCATACCATCCGGGGCGTCATCAGAGGGGGGACATCTCCCATGGTCTTTGGAAGGCGGAGGGGTTGAGGGAGGGTGAGGGGGGGCATTACGTATAAGAGGCCGCTTGATCTTATACAGGTGCCTTCGCACTAGAGTCAAGAATCTATCATCTTGAATCTTCTTATGCAGAAGACTCATCAATATTTGGTGTTCGATTGTATCGAAGCATTTGGACCTTCGGCCTTCTATGTACCAGACAGCCGCCCCTCGAAAATCTCGGCGTATCTGTTTCATACAAGTATGTTGCGAATAGCCAGGCTCTCCAGAGTTGGAACATTTCAGGAAGCGTGGGGCGGGGGGTTTCGGCACGGGGAGGGGGGGAAGGAGGGGCAAGGGGGGCAGGGATCGTACTGAGGGGAAGAGGGGAGAGAGTAGATGAAGTAGAGAAAGGAGAGGAAGGATAGGAAAGAGACGAATGCTAAAAAAACGTGCGAAGCCGCTCCCGTCGCCATCTTGGTTTCCATTAGTAGTCTCGCTCCCTAATTATTCGCGCTGATCGGTCCGTAGGCAGCGATTAGCGAAAAGAGCAAGCAACAACAGCCCGCAAGAGGAAGAGAGACAAAGCATATGGTATAGGCGATGAGCGCAGCAAAACACTTAGTCGAAGTGCTTAAGAACACTCTCTCCGAGAGGCAGGCGGCAAACAACAGACTCACTATGGCCAGGCTTGGCAGCAGCGCAAGCAGCAGCAGCAGGGCCAGATATGCGTTCAGCGCAGGCAGGAGGGAACAGAGGCAGGTCATTGCGGTCGCGGTGGGGCACGTGGCATCGCTCTGCATCGCGTAAGGCTTCAGCGAGGTCGGGGAGGCAAAAAGGGAAGGTCTCACGCAAGGAGCGTTACCACTTCCTCCTCCTCACGCTACTCCTCCTCCTGGTCCCACTCGGCGAAGAAGTCCATGTCGTTACCCGCCTTACGAAATTCCCGCAAAAGCCGGATCGTATCGAGTCCCTACCGTTGCCCGAGTCGCTAATCGCCCGATGGTTCGATGAATAGCAAACAGGTGTCTAATCCTAATATAGTACTTGTCCCTCCCCCGTATAGTACCCTTCCAGTGTACGCTTCCTTCACCGTTCGTTCGTTTCACACATTAATCCGACGGTCGAACAGGACGATGCAACTAAACAAGGGAAAAGGGAACCACAAAAAAAGAGA